GGGCCTAAACTGGCAGTCGGACATCCCCCAAGGGGTCCCAGATTGGAGAGGATGCAGACTGGGCTGAGGGGACCCCCCGCTCCAAGCACAAATTTCAAGCACCGGGGCTCTAGTTTAATATAAAGAAACAACAGTGATGAGCTAACTTTTGATCACTTACTATGTGCCACATACTGTTAAATGCATTACACTTACAGCAATTTTGTAACTGAGTGATTACTCACAGCAATTGTTAACCCTATTTTATATATGGGGAGAGTAGGCAAGGGTTAAGGCACAAAGAGGTTAAACAATTCACCCAAACCTTCAAACCTACACAGTAAGTGACAGAGGTGGAATTCAAACCCAGGCAGCCTAGCTCCATATCTGATTTCAGAATTACTATACTACACTGAGTGCACATAGTACATAGTAAAATGCCTGACTTTAATTTAGTACACAGCAGGTACTAAATATAAATAAAAGTGTAACTATTATCATACTATTTATCTCTTTTTACTTACTCTGTGATAATTCTGGATTTCCTTTCAGATTCATCATCTTTGGAATTGATGGGCCATATACATCTACATCTAACAAACCAATCTCCTTTGACTGTAAGAAAACAGAATTTATCATTATTCCCATTCTTCATCAACGATAAAGCACATAACAGTAAATCTAACTATAGAAAAGACAATTTACAAAATATTCCAAATTCATGACCTAAATTTCAAAGCAACAGTAAGGTAAAAGAGTATAAATTGCTTTGGGTAAATACATTTTGTTGGCTTACTGGAGAACTCACCAGAGAAATCCACTGCATACTTCACATTTCCCATATAGTCTCAAACAGACTGAGACTTTCTGATCTAAGAACTTAATAAATTACATGCACACAATGTTAAAGGAATTTAAATGGCCAACAATACCCCAGGAAGATATAGCATTAACTTTTTGGAAAGGCCATCTAACACACCAAAGAATACAAAAATTATAAAAAGAAGTCACAGAAACAAGATCATAATTAAAGCAAGTGAGAAATTCTGATGCAGATCTGGCATGGAAATGCAAAGGAGGATAGTGGTAGACATAATACAGAGACACAGGTGTAAGTCACAGTTAAACACTCAAGGTCTTCTGGAGAGTCATAAACAACTAAAACTGTTTTCTTTGATGACCCATCCAGCTGCCTAAGGATAGAATATCCTAATTGTTCTCTTCACTTGCTGCCAGTTAATCAGCAGCTTAGCCAAAGAAAGGAAAACAAAATTCACTATTCCTAAATATGCCTTTTTTTCTTCTTCCCACTCCTTTCTCCTTTGATAAATTAAATCAATCTGTTACTGGTTTTTTCTCATGGACTAGCAAACTATATGCCTTTGAGTTATGTTTCACCAAGACTTACATTCTCCTCACTCTCTCCCTCTAAACTTCTCAAATAGAAATTTTTTTAATTAAACAATCCTCATCTTCCATATTATCTAACAAATTCACTTTTTAAATCTTGCTGTCTGGTTCCTATAAATACACAAAATAAAGTACATTCAACATTTATAACCCTAACTTTATACTGACTCAAATGCCGTTCTAAGAAAACCATTCGATGTCCCTGTGTGACTTACAGACTAAAAGACTAGGAATTAATATCTACCTCTCCAAAATCTCAGCTTCTTATAAAATAAACTTAGAGGCCCAGTGCACGAAATTCATACACTGGAGGAGGGGGGTCCCTCAGCCCGGCCTGCTCCCTCTCGCAGTCTGGAGCCCCTCGATCAATTGCCCTGCAGAGGGAGGCCCCGCCCACCCACAGCAGCACCACCGGCCAGATAGCCTGGGCCTCCCTCTTTGGGGCGATCGATCACGCCCCACAGAGGGAGGCCCCACCCACCCGCCACAGCCCACTGGTCGGTGGCCTGGGCCTCCCTCTTTGGAGCAATTGTGGAGCCCCCTGATTGATCACCCTGCCGGCCAGTGGCCTGGGCCTCCCTCTGCAGGGCGATCATGGGGCAATGGCAGGGCCCCCGACCAATCACATTGCACCTGCCTTGGCTGGCCTGGCGCCAGTGGGTGTCATAGCGTGGTCGTCCAGATGGCTGTTTGGCCGTTTGGTCGATTTGCATATTACACTATTATTATAGAAAAAATTTGTGCACTCAGGTGGGGTCCCTCAGCCCGGCCTGCGCCCATTCGCAGTCCAGGACCCCTTGGGAGATGTCTACCTGTCGACTTAGGCCCACTTCCCAGGGGATCGGGCCTAAGCTTGCAGTCAGACATCCTTCTGGCAGCCAGGGAGCCCTCGGGGAATGTCCGGCTAAAGGCTTAGGCCCCCAAGGGATCGGGTCTAAACCGTTAGTTGGACATTCTTAGTGCTGCCACAGAGGTGGGAGAGGCTCCTGCCACCACCAGTGCTGGCCAGCCATGAGCCACCTTCTGGCTGAGTGGCACTCCCCATATGGAAGTGCACTGACCACCAGGGGGCAGCTCCTGCATTGAGCATCTGCCCTGGTGGCCAGTCCACATCATAGCAACCGGTCATTCTGCCGTTCAGTCAATGTGCATATTAGTCTTTTATTATTATTATATAGGATGTCCCTATTTCCCCCCTTTTGCCCCCTCTACCCAGCTCTTGCCCCCCACTTCTCTCTGGCCATCACCATACTGTTGTCTGTGTCCATGGGTTGTGCATATATTTTCTTTGGCTAATCCCTTCTTTAAATTCACTTCTTTAAATTTTTATTTTCAGATAAGTGCTTATAACTGCACTATTATATATTTTCTATTATATCATTTAGAATTAAGATATTTTTTAATTGAACCCTTGTAAATTTTAGCACAATTTAATAAATTATGCTAGAAGCAATTAGGAGATTTTTCATGTAATGCAGATACATTTCAATTAATATTTTATTAATTTTTAATTTTTTAATATTTTAATTTGAAATAATCTCATACATGTAAAAAAAACTATAAAATACTACAGCATATTATATGTACCCTTCACCCAATTTCTTAGGTGTTAATAATTTAAACATAACCATTATACAACTAACAAAATTTGGAATATATTTGTCTTATAATCTCTTTAATGTTACTTAATCCATTTACTTTGTTTTTGTTAATCTTCACCCAAGGATATTTTTCCATTAAATTTTAGAGAGAGTGAAGGGAAAGGGAGAGACACATTGATTGGTTGCCTCCTGCACATGCTTTGATAGGGACTGGGGATCAA